TAGGGATGAATTAGATCATAACTCCTAAAACCCCTGTCCTTTCCAAAATTGCTGATACAAGTTAAGATGAAAGTAGTGGCCTACTACTTTCCACTGCAGTACTTTAGTGTCTCTTTGCCTTCCTAATCTTAAGGTTGTGCATTTAATGTGAATTTCAGCAGAAGGGGCCGGTAGGGTCCCAGAGTGGAAGGCAAACTCTGCGGTGGGTAATGGATTGATAGGGCTGGATTTATCAAGTCTAATTCATTTTAGAGGAAGTTTCTGAATTGTGTTTTTTACAATAAAAATATTAATTGTATTGACAAATCTGATTCTTTAATTACAGGTAAACAAGTGAGAACCAAACTTTCACAGGCATTTAATCATTGGCTAAAAGTTCCAGGAGACAAGCTACAGGTATTTAGGCAATTCTAACTTTGTACTTAATCCCCAAGAAATTAATAAACGTTACATAACACTCCTAGCTCTGAATTCCATTTAGCGCTCATGCAATATATTGTTTTATGTTGGGGTTGCTAAATAATTATTAGCTTTAAAAACTAAGACACCTGAGACCCTCATAATTTGTTAATATAATTTGAAATTTCAAGCTGTTTTAGATCAAATATGAAAAAAAAGATATTCAAATTTTTGTTGTTGTTGTTGCTGTTGTTAGATTATCATTGAAGTGACGGAAATGTTGCATAATGCCAGTTTACTCATTGATGATATTGAAGACAACTCAAAACTCCGACGTGGCTTTCCAGTGGCACACAGCATCTATGGAATTCCATCTGTCATCAATTCTGCCAATTACGTGTACTTCCTTGGCCTAGAGAAAGTCTTAACCCTTGATCAGCCAGATGCAGTCAAGCTCTTTACCCGCCAGCTTTTGGAGCTCCATGAGGGACAAGGCTTAGACATTTATTGGAGGGATAACTACATTTGTCCTACTGAAGAGGAATATAAAGCGATGGTGCTGCAAAAGACAGGTGGACTCTTTGGATTAGCAGTAGGCCTCATGCAATTGTTCTCTGATTACAAAGAAGATTTAAAGCCACTACTTGATACGCTTGGGCTCTTTTTCCAAATTAGGGATGATTATGCTAATCTACACTCCAAAGAGTATAGTGAAAATAAAAGCTTTTGTGAAGATCTAACAGAGGGAAAGTTCTCATTCCCTACTATTCATGCTATTTGGTCAAGGCCTGAAAGCACCCAGGTGCAGAATATCTTGCGCCAGAGAACCGAAAACATAGATATTAAAAAATACTGTGTACATTATCTTGAGAATGTAGGTTCTTTTGAATACACTCGGAATACCCTTAAAGAGCTTGAGTCTAAAGCCTATAAACAAATTGATGCACTTGGTGGGAACCCGGAGCTAGTAGCTCTAATAGAGCACTTAAGTAAAATGTTCAAAGACGAGAATGAATAATGTTAAGCCATTCTTGATTAGGCCTGATAGCTTATTTTAGTTATTTTTTGTCTTTCGGTCTGTCATCTTTTTCGAAATTTGACCCAAGCTGTGTCTCCAAAAACTGAGTGAACAGGGGTGATGTTGTTTCAATTATAACCACTCTGTACAGATAATAATCATAGTACAAAGTTAAAGGAGTCAAAAGGAACCGCATTTAAATAGGTCTGATTTGACTGTCACATTGTGCTCTGTTGGGGCCTGTGGCCTACTCTGCCATGACTGTTTGGTTGATTCTGTTAATAAAGAAGACTTCAGCTTCCAGAAATTTTTATCCAGATACTTCCTAACTATACTGTATGTATAGGCAGTTCCCAATTCGTCTACCCCAGGTCCAGGCCCGTAACCACTTGGGGCCAATTTCTGTTAGCTAGCTGGTCCAGAGACCGGAGGAACTCTTCTTCGTAAATGTTGCTGCTAAATGTCAGTCTCCTCCCTGGAAACTCCTTCAGTCGAGTCTTCATGAGAAGGCTCATAGTGATGAACAGTGAGCACTCTGGTCCTTTGTCTTCCCCCTTCCTTTTTCCCTTTTTCCCTACCCAGCAAATTCTCTTAGTTAAGTAGCCTCCTTTTACATACTAGCCCAAATTCTTTCTTTTTCCTTTATAATGTAACTGGTGCCCCCAAACTGATTCGTATCGAGGCACAGCAGTGTCTTTCCATTTGGGAAGAAAAAAAGTACATGGAGGAGTATTTTAAGATGGAAACTGTAAACCTTTTTATATTTTCCCATCATTATTAAAAATCATGAAAGAGGGCTCATTTGAAGTACAAAAGCAAGGGGAAAAACACTTTTTCTTCCACTCCCCTAACCCCCTTGAAGGCAGTTGGTACTTGAAAGGGAAGTAGGCATCTTTAATTGAAAGAAAAGTGCTGCGCCAGCCGAGTGGCTCATTGGTTAAGAGNTTTAACATTGATCTTATATCAACAACTTAAGCCTTTTATGGTTGAGTAAATAGGAAAAGCTTAATACAAGTTTTACAATATAAGTTTTATAATAAAAGTTTTGCAACATAAGTTTTTCAACTTAAAATTCAGGTGAGCTATTTGACCCATCACTTGATGAAATCTTTCTCTTTTCTAATGAGATATTATTTACACATCATATAGTTCACCTATTTGAAGTATACAATTTGGTGGGTTTTAGTGTACTCGCAGGGTTGTGCAACCATCACAACAATCTAATTTTAGAAAATTGTGGTGCCTTCAAAAGGAAACTCCAAACTCAGTATTCCCCCTACCTCAATCCTAGGCAATCATTAATCTACTTTCTGTCTCCATGGATTTGCCTATTCTGAATATTTTGTATAAATGGAGTCAAATATGTGTCTTTTGTGATTGGCTTCTTTCACTTAGCATAATGTTTTCAAGATTTTGTATGTGTAGAATTTTCTTTTAAAATGAAACTGAATGTCTACCTTTACAGAAACACCTTGAGATACCAATTTCCTTGCAGCTTGATCCTCAGAGGTAATTTAATGAGATATTTATGTTTCTCCTTTTTAACAGATCAGCTTCAAAATTCAAAAACAATGGAGAAGACTCAAGAAACAGTCCAAAGAATTCTTCTAGAACCCTACAAGTACTTGCTTCAATTACCAGGTAGCATCCATGTAGGGCCATTTTTATAGAGTAGTGGTCATTCAAATGTCAACATACAGAGAAGTCAATACTCGCCTGCTCTTGAGATTTTTTTATTTAGGGTGGTACTTATGAGAAAAATTATAAATAGAGCTTCATAGTTCTTTGTTCTTAAAAGGGACATTTTTGAGGTACCCTTTTTAAAATATGCAATTATATAACATACTTTAAAAAGTAAAAATACTTAAAACATTCGAGTACCTTATTGGAGGTTTTATTCTTTTTGGATGTCACATATTCTAATTCCCTGTATACAAATTAGGAAAAGCTGTGCCAATTTGTACAACAATAGAAAGCCTCACTTACCTTCCACAATCATGTTTTCCACTATCACACACACACACTGTAGTTCCTTCACTACTATTGGGTTGTCGGAAAAGTCATGATGTATTTTTTATCTATTTTTTCGTTGCAAAAATGCGTCATGACTTTTCCGATAACCCAGTAGTTCCTTTAAGAGCTAAAGAGTAATGCATGTAAATCACATTTCTTAAAAGCATAACCCACATTATTTCTATATAAAGATGGGTCACCTGGACATGGCTTTCTCCAGTTACACCTGCCTAATCATGTTTATATGTGTGTACATGTTTTATTTTGCTATTTTTAAAAAATTTGTCTAGATAAATGATAACGAGTAAAAATGCATACATATAATAAGTGTGGGTTCTTATAATAAAAATTCATTTATAAACCAGTTACTTAGAACTTGGAATGCTCTTTCTCATAGAAATAGTATAAAAGGTGATAAGTCAACAACCGTAAAAACCTATTTAGCCCATAATGTGGCTAAACTATAGTCTATAATTATTCTCAACTCCACCACTATAAATACTTTTTTTTATCTCTGTTCTAAAGTGCATACCTCAATCGTAATATGTGCGTCTGTATACTTCTTTTGGAACACGTTGGCAAACACTAGCTGGAACTGGGCTGCCGTAAACACCAGTTATCAGCGCTGACAGGACCGTAAAGAGCATCTCCCACTCCAGACATTACCATGCAAAGCAAGGACTGCTTATAGTTAGTTACCTATGGAATTCACTTCTGTAATACACCTTTTAATCCTCATTATCTAGAAGTAACATTTTAAACCGTTAGATTACATATTTAAAACTCTTAAGTATCTCACCTTTTTAAAATTAGACATACTCTTGCATTCATGATAGAATATGACCTCAAAAGATTTTGCTAAAGAAATAGGAAATTGCGTTATGCGTAATAAACCTATTGTTCAGAGAGCTTCAGAATTACAAAGTGACTTAAAGGTGGACCAGACTATTCTGTTATAAAGTTACTCTTGCTAATAAAATTATTATTGATATTAGGATTTTCTGAAATTAGTGAAGTAGAATGACTTATTCCTGTTCACTTTTTTTGCCCTAGGATATGGGCCCCTAGGCCTTTGCAGTAGGAGATGGGGGGTGGAGTTGGGAGGGGAGGAAGAAGAGGGACTGCAGGAAGGGAGTTGGTAATGTTAAGATCTTAAAAAGGAAGCAGTAATTATTGTTTGTTTTAATTTTGAGGAATCTCTGTGATTAGCCCCTATTAGAAACTATTTGGGGACTAGGATCTGATCAGAGGGAAAAAAGACGAAAACTGCAGTACCTGTAAGTTAAGCCATTGTCTGCTTTCTGCATACATTCTGAAGTAAAAGGAAAAATGTGGCTCCACCTTGATTCTCTGTGTTCTTCATCTTCTCAGCTTGTTTGTTAAAAGTCATACGGGTTACTTTGC